CGCATATACCCGTAAGGGATTCCCTGTGCCATGTCATCGTTATAGTGTGAAAATTAAGAAGGCTTTCACCTATAACAATAGTTTTAAGAATATTAATAAAGTACTAGTATAACAGCTTAAGGTTAAAAAAAAAAAAAAAAAAAAAAAAGTAAAAAGTATAGTGTATGTGTATATGATAGAATAGTAAAGGAATTTAAAAGGTTTTGGTATTTTGAAATTACAGATTGAGAATCTGTATATATGTTTACAATATAGTTTCTAGAAATAGTAATAAAAACTAATAAGATAACAGTAAGTTTTAATTTGAATGAATATGGCTAAAGTTTAACTTGTGTCTAAAATATATACAATATAGAATTATTGTCGACTTGGACCTATTTAATGTTCATAGACCATTGAGAAGTATCCAAATTAATAACAGAGACATCAGTATAAAAATAGAGTTCTTGTTAGTTAGTATTATAATTGACAATTTGTTAGAGTTTATGAGTTAGTGTACAGAGTTCAAAGATAGTTGTGATTTTATTTTTTTATTTTATTTTTTATTTTATTTTTAAAGGTTATACTTGTGATGATATTTTATTAACTTTATATTGGATTAGCTATTACAACTATTTTTATAAAGATGAGAGTATAGTCAGTTACACATACAATTTTTGGTTACCTATTTAAGTAGTTCACCTTAAGGTTCTATACTAGATGCTGTACTTATAACCTACTAGGAGATTATCTATTTAAACACTCTGATCATCTACTTTGTTATATTGGAATCTCCAACTTACTCTCTGTATATACTTAACTAATATAACATCTGAGCAGTATAGTTATCTATCCTTTTTGTACTAGTTCCTAGGCCATTACATATTTCAAAGTATGTTATCTGTCAGTAAGGTGCAGAGGGCCTCTTATTGTTAACTATCTACCTACTTTTAGAACACTAACACAGTCTACCCTTATAGAGTTTATCCAGACTCCAGTACTGACTTTATAGCATATTCCTAATACTTTTAGTATACTACTACTTTGAATTCAGACTTCTAATCCAGATAGCTCAGAAGAACTGTGATCTGTTCTTGGTATATTGAGTCTGGTCTAATATCTTTTTCCTCTAATTTGAAATCTGACAGCCTAGTTGGTGGTACCTCTCACCTGAGGTTCTTGCCTGCTCAAATCCTCTACATTGGTATCTATTTTCTAGGTTTAGTCTTTACAATAGTATCATCAAAGATCCATATTATCTCTCTGTTCAGAATTTCCAAATAGGCTCTGGCTTCCCAGTTCTACAGATTTACACAGCCCAAGGACTTATTTTAGATTTGCACTGCCTGATACTGGTTTGCATTTCTCTGTGTAACAAGTTACACGGATGCTTCAGATCTGTCAGTCATGCTGATATAATTATAGTTACAGGTATCCTATCCTAACTGATTGACAAAATGCTATTGTTGTAATACTGTCTATGTATTACATAAATAATTATCTAAATTTTGATATTAGTGGATTTTAAACTTACAACCTACCACTTGGTAGTATGACAACTTATCCATTTCACTAAGTCACCATATTCAAGATAGTTGTGATTGAATTTATTGAAATAATAATATTAGATGGGCTTGGAGTCTGAATAGAGTGTCTGATTGTAACTGAATATAAGAGATCTAAATAATTGGTATTAAAGTTAAGAGTTTTGTTATTTGTATTAACTTGATCAAAAAAATTAAGTTGAAAGATTAGTAGGAATAGTGATTATATATTTGTTATTGATTGTATATGAATTAATAGAACAATCAGAACATGCTTTTGATTGAATAGATACAAGTAGATATAAGTAAGTAAATTATGATTCAATTTAACATTGTTAATAAATAATAAGTACAATACCAGATTGAAAAGATTGTTTTCTGACTTTATTAATAATGATTTAATTATCAAATACTATAATAAGTCGGAATTTTTTATATGATAAAAAGTGTTCAGTTGTGTAGTTATAGTAATTAGTATCAGATAAATATAAGTAGAGTATCCAGTTATAGAAATAACTTGTAACTTGGTTTTTTAAATAGGTAAACCAGAAAGGTTATTTGCTTTTTGGAATTTTATGAATATGAGGAGAGATATATTTCCAGTTCAGTAAGTATAAATTATCAAATGTAATAAGTTTGTTTAAATATAGAATATCATGATATTTAAGTTGTTTGTTAAAAGTTAGCTATTTAGGATATGAGCAAAAAAGTGATTCTAATGAGATAAAGTCTTCTTAAATAGTATATAAAATGTTATAAGTTGAATTAAAACTAAATATTATACTAAGATGTTTAAAATGTTGAATAATTTTAAAGTTAGTAGAATGTTTGTTTGGTCTATCAATAGTGAATTATTGTATATTAGTATACTAGTAGGTAACTAAAGATTATTTTAAAGTTGCTAAAGTTAAATATATATATTAATATCAAAAAGATCAGAAGAATTAAGTCTTTTAATATAGTTTATAATATGATATTGTAGTTGAATATTCTATATGTTATAAATATTATATAATTGTAGATGAAGTAAAGTATTAGTAGGAATTGTATGACTAAGTTTGACTTTGCTTTTAACAAGTTCAATATGATTTATAAGAATTTTATTACAAGTATTTTAGTTAAGAATTATGTTATAAAAATTATATTCAATTGTAGAAATAATAACTGTATTAATAATATATCATATATATATATCAGTGATTTGTTTAGTGTTTGCATTTTTAATAAGATATAAAAACTTAGCCATAATGAGCTTTGTCTATTTTGTTTGTTTATTATTAAGTGTAAATCAGTATCCTAGAAACTTGAATGGTTCACTTAGAGAATAAAGATTAAATAAATAATTATTGTATATAATAAAATTGTAGTTAGTTAAAGATTTATTAGTTATGAATATGGATTTAGTAGGATTAATTTGAATATTTGTTATATTATAGAAGAATTCTGATATGTTAAGGATTTGTGAAAGCTCTTGCTATAAAGATGCAATCCAAAGAGTATCATCTATGTAAGCAAAAACTAAATAGTTTGATTTAAGTTTGTTATAAGTTAGATCTTTAAGATTAATTGATCAAGAAACTTTTGTGAAATAAGTATTAAAGTTATTGTGAATGTATAAAATAAGTGAATCATAATAAATTCTCTACAAGAAAGAAGTAATAGTTTCATCCTGATCAATACCATTAAGTACAGAATATGAAAGTATAAGGCCAAGATTTGTAATAACTTGATTTTGTCAGTTAGTAAATATATTAATAATAGTGTTGATAATAGAACTAGAAAATGCAAGACACTAAAGTGAATAACTTATACTAAAATTTTGCAAAGAATTTTTTTTATTAATATACAAAAAATAATTTTTTAATTAAAATTTTAAAATTTTAAGATATAATTAAGTTATTACACAAAAAATGATCTACATGTTACACATGATTTTAAATTTTAATTGATTACAATACTCTAACACTATAGTGCTATAACTAAGATTCAGGACATAGGAAAAAAATTAGACATGCCCATATGAGCATTCACCTGAGCTAAGGCATGCCCCTTATGCCCATGGGCATGCCCTTTTTAAATCATATGATTAACACAGTTTAAAAATCTTACATGTTGATTTAGTATCTACGGTTCTAGTTTACCTGAACTTATTAGCCAATTAAAATAACTTTAAACATCACATGACAAGGGCATGCCCCATGCCCCTGTGCCCTGAACTCTAGCTATAACACTATAAAATAAATTTCTTTTTTTATTAGAAAATTTTTTAAACACAAATTTTTATGAATTCTTGGTGCTTGCGTTTTATAAATAGGTAGCAGTTACTAAATGCCGGCCTAAATCCAATGGATCCTCCCATAAAAATTGCCGAAATTACAACCATTCGGCCAATTTTTATTTATTTTGAGTGTTGCTATTTCCACCCCCACTTTTGCCCTTATGAGTTTCCGACCCTCTTCTAACCCTAATCAGAAGACGATTACATAAATAAAGATCACATGACCAAGATTTTATAGGCCGAAACTTGTGTAACATATAATCTAGGGTTAGGAGAGAGTCGGAGATCGGTTAGATCATGTGGGGGTGGAAATAGTCATTCTCTGTTTTTTTATGATTAATAAAATATCGGTTTATAAATAAATTTATTATTTATGCTTATTGTAATTATAATAATATGGCTTACAAAATTCTCGATTATAGTTTAATGAAAATGTTCTTAGCCAACACATAAATAGCAGGAAACTTCACCTACAGTTTTAAAAGAATAGAGTTACTCTTAAAGGATAACAGAATATTCCCGCGGGAACATACCAAAATCTTGTAGATAGTATGAATTGTAGAATAAGTGCTGTTATTAAAGCTAAAAGTTGCCATATAAAATACTAAAATAAATATTATTAAGTTGAATGCATTTCACAACTTCTAAATGATTTTTATAATTGTACATTTTATTAGGTAGTGCGTTGGCCTTTTTTGAAAAAATGGCTTTATAATTTAATCGTTAAATCACGTAATTTATGGCAGGTACTGGAGGTTGTTTCTCTTTTTTTTTTGCCTTTTTTTTCTTTTTTTTTTTTTTAAATCAAATCTGCTACATTCATAGGCATTTCATCAATTTGTGTGTTATAAAATTGTTCTATAAAGAAAATGTGTTAGATTTTGTAATACTGCATTTAGCATATTAATAACACCTTTAAATGCATAATATGTTGTGCCTCACATTAACACTTGCGTGAGATCACAGCTGACGCACCTCAAGTGACTATTTGATCACCAGTATTAAATGATCAGCAATAATTAGCCTAAATTATGCTGTAATTTTTACCATACCCTAATCCTAACTCAGGCCGGGCGTCATCTGACGCAAGTACGCATAAGAGGCACAACATATATATATGAAACATATTGCATCTATGTACCTATGTCTCGAAGCATTCGAACATCATCACTCGTAACGAAGTTAATGGCGACACCTTTTCTACCAAACCGACCTCCTCTTCCAATGCGATGAATATAGTTTTCGCGGTTAGTAGGAAGATCGTAATTAATGACCTGTAACATTAAATAAAAAAAAGTTATTTCATCATTGTAAACTCTTTGTTATCTACGTAACTACATGACATACCAGTGATACTTGTTGAACATCAATACCACGAGCCAATAGATCCGTGGTAATAAGTACACGAGAAGAACCTGAACGGAACTCCTTCATAATAACGTCACGTTGAGACTGATCCATATCACCATGCATAGCAGACACGGTGAATTCTCGCGCATGTAGCTTATCTGTTAGCCAGTCCACTTTTCTTCGTGTGTTACAGAAGATAACTGCTTGAGTAATGGTGACAGTTTCGTAAAGATCACATAGAGTATCAAGTTTCCACTCTTCCTTTTCAACAGCAATATAAAATTGCTGTTTTTATAAATATTTTGGTACCAATAAGTGATATAAATAAGGAGAATAGTCAATTTGTAAATAAATAATAATATAAATTATTCACCTTAATGCCTTCTAAGGTCAACTCATCGCGCTTGACCAAAATTCTAACAGGTTCACGCATAAACTTAGTAGTAACTTCCAAAACATCAGCTGGCATCGTGGCTGATAAGAGAACTACTTGAGTACTAGGTGGGAGAAGTTGGAAAACGTCGTATATTTGTTCTTTAAAACCACGGGACAGCATTTCGTCAGCTTCGTCAAGAACAAACATTTTTATATGATCGGTTTTCAAAGCACGGCGATTGATCATGTCATATACACGACCAGGGGTACCAACGACTACTTGTGCACCAGCTTCAAGTTTTTTGATACCCTCACGGACGTTAGTACCACCAATTGAAGCATTGCATTCAACATTCATAAAGTCACCAAGAGCAATAACTACTTTCTGGATTTGTTGGGCCAACTCACGGGTTGGAGCGAGGACAAGGGCTTGGCACTGACTAATGGACATATCAAGCTTCTGAAGAATTGAGATAGAAAATGTAGCGGTTTTTCCCGTTCCTGATTGGGCCTGGGCGATAACATCATGCCCCTTAATCACAGGAAGAATGGCCCGTTGTTGAATCGTAGATGGTTTTTCAAAACTGTAACCATTTAAAATAAACACGTATTAATTAAATTAATCAGAGAAAACAAGTAACTGATTTGTGAATGTCAAGTTCAAATTGTAAATAACCCGTAAGCGTAAATTCCACGAAGAAGTTCAGGTTTAAGGCTCATGTTGTCGAAATTGTCAACGATTTCCTCCCAATTGGACTATGTTAAATGTAAATTATTTTTTAGTAAATAAAAGTAAATATAAAAACATAAATGCAAATTTGAACTTACTTCAATTTCACCCTCGGGCAGATCGTTATATTCACCGTCTTCTCTATTTCATAACGACAAGAGAAATAATTTTAGATCATATAGATAGATCAGTGTAAATAATCACTTGAACAGTTCGTTGTTAAATTTCTTTTAAGATTATCAAAATCATATTCAAACTGTCTCTAAGTAAAATTAAGTTGCTTGTATTGTTTGGCGCAGTTCAATTCCGATTTTGATCCAGATCGTCGGTCTAACAAGACCTAAAGTTAAAACTCAAGTCAAAACTTCTTTTTTCTCCTTTGTTTTTTGAACGGTGTAGCATTGGAACGCACGACAAAACTTTCACGAACGAAAGTAAAAAAAAGATCCAGTCGTATAGGATGTACACTTTAGCCTCTGTCTCAGTAAACATCTTTTCGCTGTCGATGTTGCAAGAAGTATTAATACTATATTGCATATAATTAAATAAAATACTTACTTGCTCATATTTAAGATGAAAGAAAAAAATTTTTTAAAGATAGTACTAAACTACTGGTTCCGTTTTATTTTAATGCTGTCGAATAAAAATCTGTAAGTGTCAGGGCGACAAATAGTGTAGATTAATTTTTAGAATACTATTTATATTAAATGTGATGGGTAATTTATGGCAACTTTGATTTGGTATAAAAAAATTTTTTCATATTTGAAAAAAAAAAAAATTGGGCGCAGACATCATAGGACGGACGACATTCATATGATTTTGTAGACAGTCAAACAACTAAAAAAAAAAGGTAACCGAAATGCGTTCGTTAAAGACTCAAACTATGTTAATTTAAAAAATTTATTCCTAATCGTTTAGTTTGGTATAGCAGGTATAAGCTAGTTAGAACGAAGAGCCGGGTTATGTTCGAGTTTGTTTAGTTTTTGCAACGTTCTCAGGTTTAATGATCGTAGATGGTAGATTAGGTTTATAGATAATATATAAAACATATAGTGTGCTTAGTTTTGGTATCCAACCCTTTGTTTTTTGGGCATTTTATATGTATATAAGTTCTAGTCATATAAAATAAAAACTTTGGTTTTGTATATATTTATCGACATAGACTTTTGTTAATATTTCAAAACGAATATGTTAAATATAACAAAATTTGGATAAGCTTGAGTTAGGTTCAAGCTAGTATTAGTGTTAGAGTTAGAGGGTGTATATATGTGTAAAATTAAGAGTTAAAACTTTTAATTAGAAGCTCAAGACTAGTTTACATGATAAAATTTTAAGATATTTAAAAAATTTTTAAATTTTTTTTTAATTTTTTCTAATTTTTGGTCATTTTTATTATACAAAATCTTGTGATCTAATTGATTAGTTATATTAACTTATAATATAGCAACCTGTAATATTTAACAAAATCCTATAAAAGTTTGTAATATAATTGGTTGATTGTTATTAGTAAAATTTTACTGTTATATAATAATTAACAATAGATTAACAATTTTTTTTTTTAAGCAGTCATATTAGTATTTTATTAAGATTCTTGAAATTACATTTGTAATTACATAAATGTACCTAATAACTAAGTCTAGCATTACTTAGTCATCTTAATGGTATCTAAATGTAAACTGTTATATTACTTTAAATAGAAGTAAGTTGTTTGTTTAATTACTTAAAGTTTATAATAAAAAGTTTTTTTTCTTCTATAACAGCTTTAATATTTTATATTCATATTTTATATTTCTTTATTTAACAAATTCTTATTAACTTTATTAACTCATATAATATTCAGTTTACTTTTTATAAAGTTACTGTACACTAAAATGATCTATTTAATAATCTTGTTAACCAATTTGCTTATAATTACTAAATATTATTTTTCTAATATTTTTAATTAATAATCCTTATAACCTTGCTTATATATCATTTATCAACTAATTTTCTATTAAAATTTCTATATAATATTATTTATTAAGTTTATATTATAACATTTTAGATATTCTAATATTACTTTCAACAATAGTCTACTATAGTATCCAATATCAACTAGAAAACAACTTAATTCTACATTAATAACAACTAAAAAGTCTTTAATTTTTATTCTAAAAATCTTTTGTATTAAAATTCTTTTAGATAAACTAATTGTTTCTTATATTTTTTACAAATATAATTCTTTTTTGTCTCTTTCTTATTATTAATGCAATTAAACTAGTTCTTTACTACATTAGGTTATTTGTTCTTTACTTAAACTATCTATTACTTTGTTTTTAAATTTCTTAATTACATCTTAAATATGTACAACTGTTTTTAATTGATGATCTGCCAGTCATTTGGAGAATTTTCTATATTAGAATGTGGCACAAATCATATATGAATAAAGTTTAAATTGAAATTTTCAGGTTATAAGTAAAGTTGTAAAAATTCTTTTTTTTTTTTTTTTTTTTTTGCTTTCGCTAAGGCCATTAGTTATAGCAGCTACTGCCTTTATTGTAAATTCAATTATGATTACATAACTTGTACAAGGTTACCCCTATACTACACTAACAGATAGCAGCACAAGCTCTCGTACACCTAATTAGATGCTGTTTAACCTAACCTTGACCTTCTTGTTTGTATGTCTGTCAGGTCATTACACATTTCAGAGTATGTCACCTGACTATAGGGCTCAGAAGGCCCCCTTGCTAACTAACTACTCACATTTAATCTTTGCTAACAGGGCTTGCTTTTGCAGAGTTCACCCAAACCCCAGTACTAACTTTACAGCATATCTCTAGTACTTTAGTATACCTCTGTTTCCGACCTCAGACTCCCAATCCAGCTAGCTTAGTAGGACTGTGACCTGTCTCTGGTATCTCAGGGTTTGCCTTCTAAGGTCTTTTTCTTCTGGTTCGAGACTTCTGATAGCCTGGTTGGTGGTACCTCTTCCCCGAAGTTCTTGTCTGCCCAATTCCTTCTATATTGGTATCTGTTTCCTAGGTCTAGTCTTTACAGTAGTATTGTCAAAGATCTGTGTTACCTCTCTACTCGGGTCTTCCCAAGTGGGCTTCAGTTATTCCAGTTCACAGATTTATATAGCCACAAATGCCTCATAATCTGCCAGTTATCTGGTGTGACCGTGTTACAGGTATTGATCCCAACTGATCGATAGATAGCCATTGCTGTATTACTGGTTTTAAGGACTTATCTTGTGTTGCACTGCCCAATGCTGGTTTGTATTTTTCTATGTAATTCTAGCATTGCACAGATGCCTATATACATCAATGTAATATAGGTGGTTTTTCAAATTTTTACTATCAGTGGGGCTTGAACTCCCAACCTACCATTTGAAGAGTTGTTAACTTATCCACTTCATTAAGTCGCCACACTCTTTTGTAAAATTTTTTAATAAATATAGTATTAAAATAATACAAATCATAGAGTGATACTATATGCTTTTAATTATAAAGTTATTAAATATTGATCTTTTTTTTATTTTGCAAGCATGTGGCATTTACTAAATTAAACCCTATACTTATTAGATTTGTAACCGATTTCATAATTCCTGCTTTTAGTTTATTTTACAACAAATGTATAGTTTTTTTAAACTTCTAGGCTTTTTGAAGGTATATTATATCTGAAAAATAATAACAAGAGTAAATTTGTAGAATGTTACTACTTATGTTACATTGATTCAAAAAACATAAAAAAAATAAATATGAAATATTATAAGCAATATGCTTATTATTACAAAACTTCAAGTTTGAACTATTTTTTTTTTATTTAAATTTTACAAAAAATCTAATAATCTAATTAATACAATTTTTTTTATTACAAGTATTCTTAGAACATTTTAGATCTAGACTCAAATTCATTTTCTGTTGCTCTTTACTTAAAAGCACTATTATATGAGTTTATTCAATTTTATATTGTAAGAATTTGTGAAACATCCTTCTTTTCTACTGTATTTTTGCGTAATAACACTCATGAGCATTATTTCAAAAATTATGCCTTCTAAAAATATCATATATGGCTTCAAAATAATGCTCATGCATGTCCTGAAATAACGTGCACTATATAAGATAATTATATAAGACGCTTACCAATATGTAAATTAAGTGATATATAATTTGTTACTTTATATTAACATGTTTATTGATTATAAACTACTAATCAAATGCCTTATAATCTTTTAACTCTAATTTCATCAGCAATTCCTATTTTATTTTCTAACCCAATTCTATATTTTTATGTCAGTGAATTTTAACAATAGAAGCTTTATATTAATCCTTTACTATAAACCTTAATTTCGTCATCATTTTTATTGTTTAAAAAAAAATAGTGTACTTCTTTTTCGATACTAATTCTCACTTAGTGAATGCTTTGTTTTGTCTTTTTCAATACAGATTTTACTGGGATTTTCTATTTTGAAGATTAATACTAATTCAGTTAATCTTCTTTTCAGCAGGTACAATAATTAATACCTTACCTTATGTTCATCTTTTTTGATCCTATTTTATTAATATTGCTAAGTCAACAGATTGGTGAGGTATTATCCTTTTGAGCTTCAATTCTGCTAAAAGTATCAGTTTTAGAAAATTATATAATTCTACTGTAGTTTTCCACAGACTTGATAATGGATAATGGATACTTATTATATGTTTATCTCTTCAACCTCAATTTCACTAACACACTTATTTTTACAGATCATTAAATAACTGCTTTTGTCATTTTAACTTCAATTTACTAGCATATCCAATTTCAAAAAAAAAGTTAATATCTTTTTGAATCCAATTTCATAAAAAATTTCTTTTTCAATAGGCTTACGTTTTCGACTCTAATTCCACAATTCTTGTTTTATTCTCATCTTTTTTTGACACAGATTCTGCTTTTTTACTTTTTAACAGATCAATAAATGCCTATGTTCATCTTTTGATTCTGATTCTTTTTGATTTTAATTCTACTAAATAAAACAATTGTTTCTGAATTTTTAATAGTATAGAAAAGCACTTGTACTACCAGGCATTTTTTAAAAAATTCAGAAATGCTAAAATGAATAACTTAAAAGCTACATTTATTAAACCATTAAATTTAGAAAGTAATAGCATGCTTGTTCCTGCATAACATCATTCAGATTAACTTACCAAAGTCTATAAGTGATTCTTTATATTTTCTCATGCTCTATAAAGTTTCATATATATCAATTAAAATCAATAACTCAAGGGCCTACTAATATCACAGTACGTTCAGTAAGAGTTGGATCTTCAAATGGTCTAAAATATTTTTGGTTAGCTGCTAATAAATCACAATGTTTCAGACACACACAGATCACAGAAAGTTGTAGCTAAGCTACTGTTGTCGAATATTAATTATAATACATCTGTTAGAGGTTTTCTAAATTAGGTGACTGATATGTGAACTTTTTATACATTTGTTGAACAGTCAAATGACACAACTTAATACCACCAAGATAGAATAGCAGACAAGAGGAGTTGGGCCAGATATGCTCTAATAAAATAACAGATTCAGATTATTAGTCGCTAAGATATGAAAAACATTATATTTATTTATTGCATACTATATTTACGTACGTATTAGATTTTGCATTATTTAACAGTAGCTACAAACATTAATGAAGTCTTAGTATAATCATAACACATAATTAAAGTTTTTAGACATTTGGGTTCACACTACATAATCAGTTAATTAGTTCATGGTATTGTTAATTAAATAAGAATTTCATAATTTCTTTTTTTTATTAAAAAAAAAAAAAATTTACAATATCTCAAGTTTTAACTAAATTTTAATCGACCTTCATAGCAAAATAACTATTATAGCATAGTAACCTCATAAGTTAAGCCAATCCCTAAGCTATATAATTGTAACATATTAAATATGCTAATGGGCTTTGGCTATTGCAGAAACATCTAATTGGATAGTTTTTCATAATTAAATAGTTCCATTAGTTAAAAATTCAGTTGAGAAAAAAATAACCAATTTCCTTACCTTTACAAATTATCAAAGCCTGTTGGGAATCTAGAAGCGACTAACGATATTGTGAATTACCAAAAAAAAAAAATTATAATAAAGTATTTACATTATTCATACAAAGAATAATGTACCAGTAAGTGTAAATTTCACTCTAGAAGTTTATTTATTTGTTTATCGATCAACTTCTATCCTCTAATCAATTTCTATTACTTTGTTATCTTGCATTTCTTCATAGCTATTTACATCTATAATATTACTGTCATAATAATTCAGCTCATCTACTTCATAATTATTGGACTCACTATCATCCAACTCATCATAATCAGGCTTATCATTGTTCAACTCATCATCATTTGGCTCACTATTGTCATAATTCAGATTATTTTCTAAATATGTGTCATCAATTGGCAATTCATCCAAACGGTTTTTGACAATAGCTTTGAGACGGTGTGACATTTTATCATCTTTATTGTCATCAGGATTAAGTGTAAGCCCAGATGCTTTAAAAGATTTGACCAAAATATTTGAGCTGATTTCCTTCCACATCGCAGACACCCATTTGCAAACAAGTTCATATAATGCTTTTTGTCAAGCTTTTTTCTTAGTATACATTTTTTTTTCCTTTATCCATCCATTCGTCCTACCTTTTTCTCATTCCACTTTTAAAAGGTTTATTTACAGAAATGTCAGGTGGCTGCAAAATACCAGTAGTTCCATCAGGTATTTCTAACACATCCAAGCCTTCTGCATTCAATGCTTTAATTACATAATCGCGATTATGACTACGATGTGCATCAACAAAAATTATGCCTTTGCTTTTAAAAAATCCATTTGGCCTAGCTCTAATGACTCGTGGAATATATGTAGATGTCATTAATTCTCCAGTCATAGTTGCAGAGGGTGCTGTTGCTACTACAATATCCTGCAGGAATTTACCTTTTGGCTTTTTTTTCAATTTAAAGATTACTGCTGGTGGAAGTTTTTTTCCAGCTGCTATATAACCTAGAACTACTGTAAATCACAGTTTTTTATTGCCTGTAGTCTTAATTGGTACTTCACAAGTACCTTTGAAATCAATTGTTGAATTCTGTGGCATATCAAACCACATAGGCATCTCATCAAAAGATAAAATATATTTTTTTTCAACGTTATATGTTTTTTTACATGAAATTTTAAGAAAATTTTTAATGATTATATACATATCTTCAGGGAGTTTTTGTGCTACTTGGGTTCAAGAACACTTTACTAATTTATATCGTTGTTTGAAGCGTTCGGCCCAGCTATGCGAAAACTTCATATCCTTAACATCTATAGCTTCACCTAAACTTTTGGCTTCCTTTATAATCATTGATGTTGTTAATGTGCTTTTTTCTTCCCTCCTCTTTTTAACATACTCCAATAGTTCCTTTTCCAATATAGGATGTGCCACTTTTCTGCTGCGGCCTGCAAGAATCTGCACTTTTTTTATATTTAAGTCTCTATTGTCTTTAATATTTTCGAGTTCTTTTTTCTGCTTGCGCCACTCTTGAACATGCTTCTGGTGAATATTGTAATATAGAGAAGCTTTACGATTAGAAGTTTCTTCTGTGTATGAGATTACTTTGAGTTTGAACGTGATGGTAAAACTTCATTTGGTGCTCATGTTTGCTTGCAAATGGAGTAAACAATTTGTACACCAAAGCTAAAAGGATAACGTTACATTTTATATCATGAACATATGTAATACCAAAAAAAAAAAAAAATACATACTGCATTATAAACTACTTCATGATTTTTTAAGGCCGATGCATTATTTGGTATTTGTTCATCATATGATAAGTTGCCCCATTTTTTCTTAGTAAAGGTGTAATAGTAATAATATTTTGAAGGTAGCATTGTAAGTAAATTATTATAAGAATAAAAGATAGTATTATTTGGAACAATAATTTTGACATGTTTTTTTACAAATTTGAAACATTTTTTTTTTTTTGAAAAAAGAGGATTTTGAAAATAGTAAGTTAAATATACATATAGGCTAATCGAAGACATTGGGCCCTAGAAAGAGGCACTAAAGTTACTTTGAACCCCATAACTAATCATTTTGAATTGGTCTGCTATATGGAAAAATTGCTCAATAAATATCAAATTTACCTCCACCTATTTAATGATATGCAATCGGCATAGCACAAGCTTCTAAATTTTAGTGTACAATACAATATTAGATGACCTAATCCACTATTAAAAAATTTTTAGGGGTATCATATCTAGACTTTATGCATGTCCCGAATTAGCCCATATGAATTTTAAATAAACTAAACAAACCTGTAGTATTACATAGTATCAGATTATGCCAAGAAAAAAACTGGAAATAACAGTTTTAGAAATTTTCACAAGAATCATTGTTATTGTATATAACTAATTGAGATTAATTTTTCCAAAATCGCTGTTCCTAGTCTTTTTGGTATCCATACATAAAGATAAGCTCCTTTTAAAAAAAATGCATGTGCGTACATTATGAGAAGAATCGAGACATAACCATTAAGTGAATCGAGTAGATACAAATAAAAGTTGCCACCATACTTTATGCTTTATAAGCACCATGAACACAAGTAAATTGACCTTACTAGAAAGAGTGCACAAATGTCTACAATTTAAGTGAAACTTATTATTTAAATAAAATTGATAAAATTGATAAAATTTTTGATCAATGTCTGAGAAACTAATAAACTTAGAACCCAGATGCGATTAGTATTTTAAAACTAGAGTGTAAAAATTTTGACAAATAGAACTAAATAGCTCAAAGCTATTAAATAATATATTAATTAAAGCAGACCATTTCTAGTTTCTACGCTTTATATAAGAAAATCCTATCATTCAGTCACTTTATGCAAGGATTGTTAGAAATTATTTGTGTTTCATATTTTTAGTATATATTAGAAATTTGAACAATATCATAATATAAATAAATATAAATATAGTTATATATAATGTTTCTTATAAATATAAATTTAGCGAAATAAAAATATATATCTTAACTAGCTTCAAAATAAATAACTTGTATTTATCTCTAAATAGTGAAAATTGATTGTTTAAGAAATATTACTTCACATATTTTAAACTATCTCAATATAAGCTTTTAGCTTATTGGTATTTTAAAACTTTTGCCTATAGAATATGCAAAGAGAGAACTGAAACTCGCTAAATTAGGATATAAATTACAGGTTTTATATAACAATATGGACCTTATTTAGAAACATTAATCAATGCACATGCGTGTTATTTTGAAAATTAGGTTTGGCAAAAAATTAACTTTTATTTCAAATTAACACACATGCGCGTACTCAAAATAACATGCATATACTCAAAATAACATGCAGATGAGTGTTATTAAGTAAAAATACGGTATATCCCCAGCCTCAGCATAATTCAAAAGCTTGTCATATATGTTTCTTGCACTTATTCTATCATTTTTTAGATTTCCGCTTAAAAAAAAGTACTCTAATAATAATTTTATATTTTTTTTGATTCTAATACCACCTTTATTTCTCAATTTTTGGTTACCTTTTAGCACCTATTCATTAGTTAAAGGAAATCCTATGTCTATCACACTAAAAAGTCAACAGTAAGTTAAGTAATTATAATAATACAGTAATTCCTATTAAGCTTTATTCCTATCTTGAAATTGATATTATGACTAAAGGATCTAAATAAATTAATTTGAATATTTTAGTAAAAGGCCAAAAAATGTAAATATTGTATTATATACATTTTATCTACTATTATTTATTTCATTTTTAGTTTTACTTCTTTCGTTTTAATCAATTTTAATATTGCCTTTTAATTTTATAAAATTAAAACTACTTTTAGTACTATAAATCAATATTATATGGATGTTATAATACCTTTTTCATTGTTGTTTATTGAAATTGTTTATGAAGATTCCAGTATTGTATGATCTGATTTAATTGGTTGTAGTTAGTAAAGTGGAATGACCCAAAGTTTATTTAAATATGCTAGGGTAAAATTATTCTATTCTTCAATATGAGACAGTTGATGTGCACTAATATATCTATTATATCTACTCTTAGTAGGCCATTTCCAATAGAATAATTTGAAAATACTTTTAATAGTTTTGATTTTAGTTTTTTCTACATTATCATTATGATCTGATTCTATGTTTGCTATAGCAGTTTCAGACAGATTTTTAACTATTTTGCTTATATCATCTCCTGTCTTCAAATCATATCTGATTTGTAAATATCACTTTATTGCATGTATAATCTTAGAATAGTAATAAGTATATTTTGTAATTAAAATATATAATACTCTAATCTAAAAATATATATATAATACAAGATACTAACCGCTACATAATGTGAATCAACAATTGTTTTTGCTTCTCTAAGTTCTAAAAATAACCAACCATGAACTTCAACATTATACTATTTATGCCAATATCTGACTATAACTATTAATTTAGAATTATGATAATGGAGTCTATTATTGAATATTACTTTAATCTATTTTAGCTTTTTATCTATCATTTTGAATATAACTTCAAATGCAGATACTGTAAACCAAACATTCTGCTTAGTATCTATTGACCAGTAATTATATACTCTAACATTTAATTCTGTATTACTTTTTTTAATAAAAACCAAAATTGTATGCAGAGTCCAACCACATTTTTCATAAAATTCAGGTTTTGTTTTATATGCAGATTTGGGCAATATTCACATTTTATAATTAGCAATAAAGAGTGCACCATCAAAGTTAAGCTTAGCAATGTTGTTTTAAATTGAGCATTTAGGTATACCTTTCATATTTGATGTGAAAAGTAATATAACAATTTTTCTTTTGATTCTGTAATTTGCTCATAAATACTTGAAGGTACTAATTTATATATAAATTCTACAAAATCAAATAGTTGATTGCAATCAGGCTATTTTGTTTTATAACTATATATGCATTCATCGAATATATAAGATAAACAGTAAGAAATACAGGAATTATGTTCAACACAACTATCTATTTTAACTGTTAACTCTTTTTTATAACCTCTTTTTATATGTCTTTTGAGTTTCTCAAAATGTTTTAAGGCTTCATTCTGATAAAAGTGATTTGTAAGTAAATAATATGTTAATAATATAAGAATTAAATAATAATAATAATAATTAAGCTAACCAACCTCAAAATCTTTATTTA